AAAACAAGCTAAAAACTTTTTAAGCGATTACAATAGTAATATCCTCTAATTCAGAATTAAAAATGACTTTAGATTTTGTCATAAAAATAGCAGCGACGTATTTAAAAAAATTAACCCGATGATGGCCCCTCGAAGACGAAACGTCGGATTGCAAAAATGTTGACGCCATTGTATAGAGCGAAAAAAGTGGCACTGTAAATATGTAATTTATTTTAAAATTCGTTTTCAAATAAAGCCAGAAAAAATTAACAAATTTTGCAAAATTTCGGGTTTTTCCGGATTTCTCCGGAACTACAAGGAATTTTAAAACTTTCTAAACAGCATACTGTTAGGTATAAAAAAAACAACCTTTTTTCTAATCTGAGCCTACCCCGTATCTCTTACCATTTCCTAGATCCTAGTGCTATCCCATCCTTATCTTGGACACACTGTATATCTATGAATTCATAAAACTTAAAAAAAAATAAATACACTAATCGATCCTACGGAAAAAAAATATTATTTATTTTAATTTTTTCACTGTTCGACTTATGTTTATAGCAATACTGTACAAAAATAGTTTTGGGTCAAACAATGAGACAATTTTTTTGTATTTTTTCCGTACAATTGAATGGTGTAATCAGTTTTTGTTTTTTTTTAAATTTAATTATCAACAATTACTGAAAAATTCATTGCTGCAAGTCATTTTTTACTTTTTGCATTTTTGAACATGTTTTTGAACTGAGATTACAAATTTTTTTATTTCACCAAAAAGTATATGTCAAAACGAAAAAAAATGATTACCGGCAGAACTCTGTACGATGATTTTTGTAAGTAGAATTTTTCTTTGAAAAAAAAAGTGTTTCAGGCCGAAAAAAATGAATATCTCAGAAACTTCTTGATTTTTTTATCTAAAAAAATTTGAGGTTATTTAAGACAGAGACAGGTATACTTTCACTAAGTTTCGTGAAAATTAAATTATTTTTGCGGAAATGAGAAATAAAAAACGAAAAATCAGAAAAAACAGATTTTTGCATATTTCTCGAAAATTTTCAGTTTATGTTAAAAAATGAATTCTACAAAAGTTGTAGATTTTTGCATGATCTACAACTTTTGTATTACATACTTTTTTGTTTGATGTCAACTTTCGCCAGAAATCCCAATGATACAATTTTTCATAACTTTTCAACCCCCCAAATCAACCCTCCTCCACCCCTGCTCACGAATTTATTTTTTTTTTCGTTTATTATAAGCCCCTTTACCATTTCCACTTATGAAAGTCCAGGTAACAATTTTCTTTTTTTTTCCCTCTAAATGAGTTATTTTGATCGGTCTAATACTAATCAAATCAGTATGGAATTTTAAATGATTTGTGAATGCCAATATTTAAATACCCCCACCCTAAAAAAAGTCGCCAAGAATATGGTGGATCCCATATAGTAAACATAATCTGTTCTGTTTCGTGGTTTTAATATTTTTAATTACATTAATTTCTGATTAATTATTGTAATCCAAGCTAAAGAGATTGTCAGCTATGTAGCAGTGTTACACGTAAATTGAGTTTTTTTATTAAGAGAAGTTTACATTTTTTGTTAAATACAGGTTTAGTTATTTGGATTCCAGCAAAAATAATTTAGATTAGATTATAAAATCGGTCTGAATTTTATAAATTTCTTCAAAAAATTACTAAAGCATATTTATTTTCTAAGCAGATTTTAAAATGTAAGTCTACTTACATATGACATATAATTCTTATTTAGTATTAACTATTTATTGTGTATAGTATTACTTATAAATAAATAATAACTAATAAAAGATACAAACACAAAATAACTAAACAACTGCAAACCGATAATTAGAACAATCTCAAAACACTTCGGGTTAAGTAACTTATTGAAAACGTATCACCATGTGACAGTCATCTGTTGCGTCTGGGAGACGCCAGCCTATGCTGGGATAGAACAAAGAAACCGATACTTTTAATTTAATTTAATTTTTAATAACGCGCGAAATACATTCCAAAGAACGTAGGAATTCCAAGAATAAGTTGTTAGAAG